ATCCCTAATAAATTATTTTATTTACTGAACTCTAGATAAAATAGATAAAGTAATTCTTCAGAAAATATTTATAAACCCAGAAAATATTTTTTTTTTTTTTTAAGTAACATTCTCCGATATAGAGTTATTTATATGTAATTTATTTTATCTATCAACTTTTAGATGTAAAGAAATGTTTAAATACATACAATTTTTCTACAGATTATTAAAAGTAAGTGTAGCAATGATCGAATAAATTATATATGACAAGCTATGTTACACAACAAAGTATATTTGCATTGAAATGAGTGTTGAATAAATTAAGCTATGATAGAGGGAACATTGGATAATCCGAACTTTCATTTATTCAGATCAAATAGTCATCCCACCATCCGAATAAATGAGTTTCTACTATAAACCTTGTATAGTAATAATCCTAGTATTGATTTTAACTTCAACAATTTATCAAATGTTACTTTGTGACAACACGCCCTCTGTCTTTAAAATCTCTGGGTTCTCTACTGTCTCTCGTGTTGGGTCCACCGCTTCTGCCATTACGTTTTTGTGTGTTCTCTACATTGTTGATATAGTCAGTAATAGTATTACCGGCATTGTGTCTGGTGGGAGCCCTACCCCTGCCACCACGTCCACGCGATTGACCGCCACGACCTCCACGTGCTCCACCCGCTTCTTCTGGGCCTGTGATCATGCCCCGTCTTGTGGGGGGAAAGTTGGGCATTGGTCCTGTTGTCGATCCATGCATATTTCTTAATTGTTGGTCAATTTCTAATTTTTCTTGACGCAACTGTTCTACTTCCTGTAAAACAGATAATACAAAATTATAAAAATAAATAACATTTACAATAGATATATATTTTACATTATTATACCTTCAAATGTGCCAAATGATATTCCAATAACATTTTGGCATTAGCAATACTTTCAACAGTACCAACAAACACAAAGGGCACCTGACCCTCTTCTCTCGGAATCGTTGGTTGAGGTTCGTTGTCTCCTTCTATTTTAACTCGTACCTAAAATTTATAATATTTAAAATTATTCTATTAAGCATATCAGTAATAACAATTAACGGTTATATCTATAAATTATATATTTATAAATCATATTTTTATAACAAAATTAAAAGATTCATATATTTACATATAAAATAATGAAATATTAATTAATGCAAATGTAATATTTACCACACCACTTTTGTCGACAATTTCTTGTATTATACGACCATTTTTTCCAATTACTTTGCCTACCAAAACACGTGGTACTTGTATAGATTCTTCACTATATTCAAGCAAAGAACGAGCTTTTTTAACAGCTTCATGTGTCTGTAATTAGGTAAGTGTGTACTATTTAACGATGTTGTATAAAATCTTCATAATTTATAATTTTTTACATGACACACATAACGTAATAAAAGTAAATCAAAAAGGTGAAGTTTTATTTAAATTTTTACCTCTCCATATATTTTAAATGTGCATGAATTTTCTTCTAATTCTATATTTGTAATTCCGTCGACCTTTCTTGCCTGTTGGATATTTGCACCATGTGCACCAATAGCTAATCCCATCAAGTCTTCTCGAACATTGAATTCATCTGTGTATCTAAAAAACAAAATTTTAATTTATATATTCAATTTCATATAATAAAACGAAACTATTGCAGAATTTATAATATACATATATATATATACATA